ACGACCTGGCGGCGGGGACGACCTGGCGGCGGCGATGGCAACGGCGAGGGGGGAGAGGTCCGTGCGGCGGCGACGGCGACCTAGCGGCGGCGACGGCGACGGCGAGGGGGGAGAGGTCCTGGCAGTGGCCTCGGCGACGGCGAGGGGCGGGGCGACTTCGGGGAGGAGCCGGCGGTAGCGGGGACGACTTGGCGGCGGGGACGACCTGGCGGCGGCGATGGCAACGGCGAGGGGGGAGCGTTTCGTGCGGTGGCGACGGTGACCTGGCGGCGGCGACGGCGACGGCGACGGCGAGGGGGGAGAGGTCCTGGCGGCGGCGACGGCAACGGCGAGGGGGAGAGGTCCTGACGGCGGCGGCGGCGACGGCGTGGGGCAGGGCGACTTTGGGGAGGAGCCGGCGGTGGCGGGGACGACGGCGACGGCGACTTGGGAAATTTTGGCAGCCTGGCGGCTAGGGTTTCGCGGGAGCCGGGACTTAGAAAATTTTGGCTCCCCGCTCTCCCTATATATAGGCGCAGATCATCGCATGCGGGCGGCTTAAGGGACCGCATGAAAAAAATATCTTTCCATGCGGTCGACATAAGCCGGCCGCATGCGAAAAAGATCTTTCCATGCGGGCTGTTAAGCCGGCCGCATGCGAAAAAGATATTTCCATGCGGGCTGTTAAGCCAGCCGCATGCGAAAAAGATCTTTCCGTGCGGGCCATAAAGCCGGCCGCATGGGAAAAAGATCTTTCCATCCGGCTGGCTTAAGTCGTCCGCATAGAAAGATCTTTTTACCAAAAAAACTCATATTTTTTTTTCTCTAAGTAAACTGTCCATATATATTTTTTTCCCAATATTTCGCCACAATTATACATTCCAAATGTTTTTGGCACTAAGAAAACTCATGAAAATTGCTCAAAACTCGTAATCAAATGTTACATGCTAATGATTACTACATAAGGGGGACCTAAATTCATGCACGTACATTTGGAATACAATGAGAACTAAAGGTTACGAAATAACTATGACTTAATAACCTTGGCAACACCATCTGCTCGAACGTACGATATATTTGCTTCATCGATTGTTCTCTCAACCTTCTTAATTCGCATAGGAAGATCAGTAAACAATGGTACATCGTCGAACTGGTTGTAATCATTGGGGTCTTCGATGTTGTCGATGCCGACGATCTGTTGCTTTCCGGATATGACAATAGTTTTTCTTTCATCTGAAGGGTCCTTCACATAAAACACTTGAGCCACACGCTCTGCTAAAACCCATGGATCATCCTTGTGGCCTGTTTTACTGTGATCGACTATCGTTAGCCCGTAGTCATCAACGGAAACCCCTATTGTGTCTTTAACCCATTCACAATAGAGCACAGGGATCTGGATGTTTAGGCCATAGTCCAGTTCCCATATTTCTTGAATGGTCCCATAATACGACCTCTTTTCTCCACTCGTGTCAATCGCTTCGACACGGATCCCACTGTTTTGTGCGGTGCTTTTCATGTCCTTCGTAGTCGTACTCAAGGTAAATCCATTGATGTCGTAACCTTGCCATGAATTGACAATACTTGAAGGCCCACATGCCAGTCTTTGTAAAGTAAGTTCCTCCACAGAATCACCAACTGGCAGGTTTAGATCTTTCAACCATAGAGGAAAGCGACGCTTGTGCTCTCTTGATATCCAATCATTGGACCGCCCTGGGAAGCAGGCTTTGATTTCTTCTAGGTGTCGCTCAATGAATGGCTCAACGATAGCGAGCTGTTGAAGAACGCTGTTGTGTGCCGCGGACACCTTTTTGTAATCATTATTGAAGAACTGCTTCCTACCAACAGTACCCCTTCCAGACAATCTACCTTCATGTCGATGAACAGGAATGCCAATGGCATTAGCATCCTTTATGTAGTCCATACAACACTCGACTGCCTCTTCAGTTGTGTATCCCTCTATCATTGATCCTTCCGGGTGAGTGCGATTGCGTACATAGCCTTTGAGGATCGACATGTAACGCTCATAGGCCCACATCTGATGTAAGTATAATGGACCAAGTTCAATAATCTGAGGGACGATGTGAATGATCAAATGCTCCATCATATCTAAAAATGATGGTGGGAAATACATCTCAAGCTGGCATACAGTCTCGACGGCAAATGTCTGAAGCGGACCTAATTCCAAAGGATCAAATACCTTCTGCGAAATTCGATTGAAAAAGTAGCACAACTTTGTTATAACCACCTTTGTATGGACTGGTTTGACTGCCCTTATAGCAATTGGTAGGAACACCGTTAGCAACCTATGACAGTCATGCGCATTGTATCCCGAAATGGACAAATCCTTCATTGATACTAGCTTCCTGATGTTCGATGCGAAACCAGTAGGCACTCTAACCCCTTGTAAACATTTACAGAAGGCTTTTTTCTCTTCAAGTGTCAACGAGTAACAAGCAGGAGGAATCTCGGTCTTCCCATTTGGCAGCACTACTGGGTGAAGGTTATGCCGTATGGACAAATCTACAAGGTCGTTACGTGACTTCAATCCATCCTTCGTTTTACTCGGGATGTCCAGCAATGTGCCAACGGTGCTATCAAACACGTTCTTCTCGAGGTGCATAACATCAATTGCATGTCGAATCTCTAGGTTCTTCCAGTAATCTAAGTATTTGAAGAAAATTGAGTGCTTCTTGAAAGGCGACGCAGTACCGTTGTCACCATCAGCTTTCTTCCTCTTTACTGTCTTCTTCTTTCCTTTTCCATATACAACCTTAATCTTCTTTGTTATCTCATACATGTATGTACCACCTCTTGCTACTGGGGCATTGTCATTCTCCACTGTATTATCGAACAATCTAGCCATCTTACGGTACCTATGTCTTTGTGGTAGGAACCGTCGATGTCGCATGTACACTGTCTTCAAAGACGACGTCAGGTATTTGTATGAAGTTTTTTCCAGACATATCAGACATCCAGTCTTCCCTTTAATCTGCCCAGATAATGAAAAGTTTACAGGTAGGTCATTGATGGTAACGAATATGATCGCACGTAGATTGAAGTGCTCCCGCTTAAACTCATCCCATAGTCGTAACCCCTCTTTCCAAAGCTCCTCCATGTCCTCCATCAAAGGCTCAAGGAAAACATCTATGTCGATTCCAGGTTGGTTTGGACCTTGTATGAGGATAGTGAGTAGAATGTACTTTCGTTTCTGACATATCCATGTTGGAAGATTATACATTGTGAGAAGGACTGGCCATGTGCTGTGCGAGCTGCTTAAGTCACCAAACGGGTTCATTCCATCAGTGCTCAACGCAAACCTTACATTCCTAGGATCCTTAGCAAATTCTGGGTGTTTTGCATCAAATGTCTTCCACTGGCGAGCGTCGGCGGGATGTCGAATCATACCATCTATTTTCCGGCTCTCTTGATGCCATCTCATCAACTCAGCATCAGTCGGGTTTGAGTACAGACGCTTCAGGCGGTCCTTAATTGGTAGGTACCACATCACCATTGAAGGAATCTTCCCGCGCTTACCCTTATCAGAATCTGGATCGGTACACTCTGAATCTACGGGCCCATTCCCCGTTTTATACCGACTTGTGCCACACGTTGGGCAACATTTCAATTCCGCATATTCTTTACGGTATAATATGCAGTGATTCTTACAAGCATGAATCTTTTCTACACCAAGAGATAAAGGACATATGAGTTTCTTCGCTTCATACGTGTTCGATGGTACAAAGTTAGGCTTAGGAAGCAACACACGCAACAAACTCATCAGATCATTAAAACTTGTGTCCGACCATCCATGTTTAGCCTTCAATCTCAGAAGTTCAAGCACTGAACGCAAGACTGTGAAATCCTTATCACATCCCTTCGTTTCATCGAAAAGACGATCCTTCGATGCCTTCTCTAATGCCTGCCAATTCTCCAATCCTCGTGACCTGCCCGCTAGCACATCTGGTTCAACATGGCGTAGCATATCCTCTAAATCAAAACCACCATCGAAATCATCACTATCGGTGGAAACATCGACAACCATTCTTTCACGCGACATGTCTTCGATTATAAAATTCTCTGCCTCATTCATCTCGAAACTTAACTCTTCATCGTCATCTTCCGGATTGGCGAATTCCCCGTGATAGGTCCAAACCTTGTAGTTGGTGGTGAATCCGTACTCCATTATGTGACCCAATATTTCACCAGGATCTACCAACAATTTCTGATTCTTGCAATGACGGCACGGACAAAAGATCTTTGTCATATTCTCCCTCAAAGCATGCGCCTTAGCCTGATCAATAAATTTAGATACTTCCTTAATAAATATCGGCTGCGTTCTCCACATCTCATACATCCATGACGACCGATCCATCTAATTATATAAAGGCAAAAAAGTTACAGATAAAAAAATAGACCGCAGGTATTTCATACAAAAGTTTAAATGCATTTGTCTCCCAAAAAAAATACAACAATACATGTAACTAGTATGTACAATTGATTACATGCAAAATTTGCCCATCAAAACATATATTTTGAAGCTAGATTTTGCAAAAAATAGTTAGAACAAACCTTGTCAAAATATTAAAAAAACTCCACTTTCCACCAACGAAATATAACAAAAATGGAGCCAAATGAAGCAGGATAGAGAGTTCTTCACCTTTCGTATAGAGTTCAAGTAAAAATTTCGAGTTGAAAACCTCCCCCCCTAATTGGTGCTTGCTTTAGGAGAGAGAAAGCTTCGTTTTCAAATGGTCAAGCTCAGGCCTGGAGGAGCATATATGGCCGATCATCGCATGCGGTCCCTTAAGCCAGCCGCATGCGAAAATAGACCTATTATCGCATGCGGCTGTCTTAAGCAGCCGCATGCGATAATGGATCTTCGCATGTGGCTAATCAACCCGCCCCCGGGGGGGCGGTTTTTGCAGGCGCCGCCACAAGCGGCCATGGAACCTACCGACCCCCTTGTACAGAAAAACGATTTTTGTAGTAGTGACAGTCACACCAGAAACTACTGCCCAGGATCGATTTGTCACTAGGCCAAGTTGGATTAACACATTACTCATGTTACGCCGTGAGTGATATCAGGTGAACCCGGCCCAATGCTTGATCACTTGTGTCGTGTTGGTTCAAAGAAAGGCTGTAGTACATTTTTTCCCATGGAGCAAAACAATACGGCTAGGCCATATTGTTACACCATCACATCTTGCAGTAGGTTGTTGTCTGTCGGTAAAACATTTTCCTGTCGTTGGTGGCCGTTGTAATATCAGGTGCAAGGGTAAGCATTTCACAAGCAAATGTTTGTGTGTACAGAGATTCAGAGATGATGCTCGCGTAGAGTCACCACCACAACCCACACTTAAGATCACAGTGGCATCAACGATTGTTTGTTCTTCTCAGGTTGATGTCAGTGTGCGGTGTCGACTCGGTGAGGTTTGTGTGCACTCAGCTATCACAAAAACTGTAGCTGTATGCCTGTATCTGAAATAGAAACTGATGTCCCCGAGGCCATCCAATCCAGTACTCAAACATCGGTTTTCTGATAATTTCAAAATGGAGCGAGGGCATGTAAAAAAAGTTGCTTGGGGAAAAACCTTCATGTCAGCTAGCATTGTACTATTGTTTTATTGGGTCTACAACACACTCCTTTTTTATATCTGTAGCGAAGCAAGATGAACCTCTTCTTTGCCAACATTATTGTTATGTGAATTCAATTTTTCACTTGCCTTACATAATTACAGGCACAATAAAAACGAGCCCATGTGCATGTTGCACTACTAGAAACGAGGCCCATATCACAACTATATCAATCTATCTTCGCAGACTTTTAGTTGCAGGCAGAACCTGTGGCCACCTGCATATATAGAGCCATTTTGGCCACCTGTGAAAACATTCTTTTTCAGTAGTGTAGTACATCAAGAAGCCAAGTGCAAATTAAAATTCGTGGTATATATGGTTTTGGTTTGACGGTTCTAGTAGTTATGGTGGTTCTGTCATATAAAAAGTGAGACCATAGTGGAAGAATCAACTCTTGGTCTCTGATATTGAAATGAAAATATGCACAATTTTAATGCAAAGTTTCTGGAGGGGACTAAAAAATTAAGATGCATCAAACCTATATAACATAATTGAAATGTGTTCAAGCTGCACAATGCCAAATGGAAATTTTCCATCCATACCAGTTTAAAGCTCCATAGCTAACCTTTTCCAAAAATCAGCTAATTGCTCTTGTGCTGTGTTAGTATCCTTCCAAAGTTCGTCTAAGTTAACATTTGTATATAGTTCCCACATAGTAATAGTGGTATGTGCTCCTCTCACGCACAACTCTTGAAACAAAATCCTTGGATGACATGGAAGGCAAGATGAAGGAATAAAGCAAGAGAAAGATCACCTAACTGGTATTGGTGGATTTCATGATCAAAGAGAGCGACACATGCTGGGCGCTTCCGCTTTAATGGGAATGACTTCATCGCAGTTGGAGGTGATCGATGATGAGCGCAATTGCTGAACAGGAGATTCAACTCTCAAGTCTCCTTCATAGCAGCCATGAAAACCAATTTCCAGATGCCTCCCTTGCCCATGCTTAAAAAATGAGTGAAAGCCAGTGCTACATAAATGATCGATCTTTGCAGATGGTCAAAACCCATTTTGATAAGTGGTTGAGTGACCCGCCCCCCTCTTGGTGTCTATGGAACTAGAGATTATCATAGCTGGACTGCCCAACTATGATAATTTCTATACACATTTTGAATTTGAGTAGGCGTCTATACACATTTATACACCAAGTCACAAGCCACATCATTTTCTTTATTTCTCTATGTACGCACATGTGTGGTGTTAAGGACTCGAACTCAAGACCCATAGTCCACACACATCTATTCTTACCATCACACTATTTTCTAAAACATTACATCTACAAGACTTGAAACGCTTATTTGGTCCTCTAAATGATCTTAAATAAAAAGGTCATTAGTACCAAAGTTGTAGATCTGATCGAGCCCTATAACTTTGATGTTTGAAAGATATATATGATATTTTATAAAAATATATATGAGATCTTGTAATGAATGTTTCGGCCTCTAACAAATTCTCAAATGAAAAGGTTATCAACTACAAAGTTGTAGGTCTCGTCAAGATCTAAAATTTTATTATAAAGTTAATCTTCATCCAATTTTATATGGAAAAGTTATGTATAGATATGTGTTATTTATTAAAATTTTATTTTCACAAGAAAGTGGCTTAAGCTGCTCGTGGCTCGCCTATGAAAACCAATTTTCAAATGTGCACGCTTAAGCCAACTATTTGTTTTCAACATAGGCATATGACTGAAAACACTCAGAGGCCTTAGTTTACAAATTAAGGTTTAGAGAGAGCAAGTAGTTCGATAGCAAGATAAGTACACACTGTGTATCCAAAGAAACAAAATAGGGACTATTTTCCTAGTAAACTAGATGGTACCCTGCGCGTTGCTGCGGAACATTGTGGAATAGCATATTGTAGGATTATGAAATAGCTTTTTTTTAAAGAAAAAAAGAGAAGCCAATGAACTGACATAATCATATATGTTGATGGGGATATAATATGCGACATAGCAATCTAACAGACTCACCTATAAGTTGACAGGGGATTTCTATTGTTTACAGACTAAACGACATGTGCAGGAAGGGAAAAAAAGGAAAATTGTGCAGTTGATTGTAATCATAGATTAAACAAAAAAATGTGTAGACAACACATGGCTAGGTAAAGCCATAATAACTTGAATTGTTCTTGGATAACCAGATGCTAATCGATACAGTGAGTGAGCTTCATGAAACCAAATGGTGCTGTGCTATGCAGTGGTTGTAAACATTGAGAAAACACATACTACTATATTTATATGCTGAACTCAAGTTTACGTACCAGTGAGATCATGTAAGATGAAGCCCTTCAATATTTCCACCAATGTAAGCTTGAAGAGGAAGAGACCGGATTCGGTTTATTCCTTCCATCCAATTGTCTGGTGATGAGCTGAGACCATTCATGTTTTAGTGTTTTACCAGGAAAAAACAACCGTGCACATAGTAGTTTGTGGCGATGGAAGGTTCACGTTACAAAATATGTCAAGTATCAAAGACATAAGAAATTCGCCTACAAAATCTCTAGCTATATGAGTATATATAATAAAACAATGATGGACAGCTTTGCAAATCATACATACATAAGGTTGACACCCCTAAAAGTAACGAATTACTTGATCGATTGCTCCAGAACAGCAAAATACCTTTAATTGGTATGATTCTCTCACCTGCAGTAAAATTGGGCATCAGGATTTACCTTTACCTCCCCCACAACCCCGATAGGTAGCCGAATCAGAATGTACATACACAGAAAAAAGAGAGAAAATGTTAAGAAAATTGCACATGTAAAGGCGTACAGCACATTGTGAAGGAAAGTTTAGAGAAAGCAAGAGGCAATTCTGCAGGAAGGACAGGTGAAGGAGACAAACAAATAAGAAAGTGTATAGCAAGGAAGGAGGATGGGTGGAACAAAAATGGCACCTTGCTGCAGGTCGCCAATGCAACGGAAAAGAGACTGCTGATTCCGGCGTGTGACTATGAAAAATGCAAGGCAATCAACTTTTGTAGACGGGCGTTACCATCGACTAATATTCATATTTCAATGAAGGGCAACGGTGATTTGGCTGTTACGCTACAGCTACAGGAAGTAATTGTTTTCATGGAAAACATGAAAAGCTGCTCGTTGGTGGTTGTCGGCGGTAGGCAGGGAAGACCCAAAGACGAAGCGGACTGAGGCGGTGGCCGTCGATTCCCCTGCCTGTCGCCGGGGAGGGGAAAGGGATGAGACGCGGGGCGTTTCCCTTGGATGCGCCGCAGGGGATCGGGGATTGCTAGGTGGTGCGAGCGGAGCGCAGACGACACGAGAGAAATGCAGGTGGCGGCGTGTGCGCGGTGTGGAACTCTGAACGCGCGCGCTAGGGTTGGGAGGAGATGGGAGGGCGCCAGAGCGGAAGACGGAGGCGAAGCGATGGCTGTGGTGATCGGAGAAAATTTTGGGAGAGGCGGCTGGTGCAAATGCAATGGGCCGTAATGGAAGCGGCGGTTGGGATGGGCCAAATAAATGGACATGTACCAGTATGCTATCTGAGCTTTTGATCTTTTGATCTGACGGTTGCTATTGTTGATAGATGCTCATCTAACGGCTGAAACAATTTAAGTGACGTGGCTGCACCTCATGGCAGCAAATTCATATTAGTGAGGATGATTTGTATAGGTATATAGGATGAGGCCCTTGTTGTAGCATAAAAGTGGGGAATGTCTTGTTAACTGCCTGAACAGACAACCAGATGGGAATTCAATTGTGAATTGGCATGAGAAATCTCTAGTTCGGTGGAAAGAACTAGCACGAGGAATCTGAAGCATGATACCAGACATTCTGATGCCTCATGTGTAGAAGCTCAAATATTGAAAGTGTAATCGATTTGCCTTAATTGCTTGGTTGCCATATGGGAGCCCAGCATGGGTCTCTTTACTGGCATGAGGTTATTTTGTATACAATTTCTTTATTTGTTTAAATTAGTAAATTTGGAAAAATTACACATATCCTATCAGAAGGGCATTATCAAAAGTCAAAACCATTGTCAATAATAGAATTGTATCTTTATATTATTAGTTTATATATAGATATTTGAAATGTGATGGAAGGCACATAATATTTATCCTGTTCTAAGTATGCTAACATAAATGTTGTTGTTGTTGAAGGTTTACTCTTAAAATGGTTTGTTTTAGTCTTCAGGCTTAATCAACCTTCAATTCAGTCATAAGTCTAATTCGACAACTCTAATAATGTTCTTTTTTTGCTTATTCATGTAATGAACTGAAAAGTAATGGTTTTGTAGCTGGAGGGAGAAGATAGGCAGGCACAACGCATTAAATGGTTGGACGTGGCACAACTGGTTCGGCTCATACCTAAGCAGCAGCATGGGTGAGAGGGCCTCAAGACACCAGCTCACCTGGATGACTGCTGGGCCCAACGGTGGAATAGAAAGAGAGGGACCGGTTAGGCTGGAGGTTAAGATAATAGAGGAAGGGAGGGAACCTTGTAATGATTTGACCAAACAAGATATCATATTTGTTTCAGCAATAACATATTCCCAAGCTTGGGTCATAGACTCTTCATAATTATTTTGTTGCTGGAACATGTTCTCATAGCCGAAATTATTTTTCCTTATCGTATTTAACCATTAACTTGTTCATTGTGCAATACTTTGGCATAAAATAACTGTGATAGCTCATATTAGCACCACATAGAGTAAAACTGTCCAATTACATGCATTTTGATGATGGTCCAAACCGTTAATGATATGAATATGAGGCAAAGTTTATTTGATAAAAAAAATAGGACCTGCATAAAAATAACAGGTGTACTCACCCATGTCAAAGCAGCTTATAGTCTATTTATTTTCCTCATGTTCCTGTATTACCAAGAACGCTTCTTTTCTAGCATCTTTCAATCTATTTTTGCAGTAGAGAAAGGCGGAAGAAAAGGGTGGGACACTTCTGCTTGGGCTAATCGTCGTCCATTGGTCTTGTTACAACTTCACATGCCTTAGCGAGAGATTATGAGTTTATAGGATTGAAGAAGCTCTCTTTAACATCGATTAGGATAGCAAAGATGGTTTAATCCTCCAACCAGGCAGTAGATCCATCTGTCATCTTCTGAAATCTGAATAGACAACTAAATTAGTGGAAATCATGATTGCATACTGAAGAAGTGCAAGTTCCTGCTTTTAAATTTCCATGGAACTTTTTAATATACTGCTGTATAGATGAGGGACTCCTGGATGCCTCCTATACCTAAGGTCGAATGCAACAACGGAAAAACAATACAAAATGGATAGTCGTCCATGAAAATCATGCATGAGAAAAATGAAAAGCTACAAGTAGCATAAGCCAGCACTCTACCCCCATCTATTTTTATTGGCCAGCATTAACTACAGTTTGTACAAAGAGGTTGCACATTCTTTCCCACAGCAAAGGAAAGCCCCACCTAAAACATGGCTTTTAAGGCTTCTGTAGTAAGCTTATATGCTTGAGAAGGTAACAGAACATTAGAAATTCATCCAATCCAATTTGTTTTAATTGTGAATTCAGAACAAATACATGCATGTTTTATTGACTATCATGATATAGGCCATCTTCCAATGTATTATTACACAAAAATTTGTTCTTCTATGTGTAGCTGTACTCACTGGGCTCAACTTTTTGTTCTGTTTTTTGAACCAAAATATGCTGCTGTAGTTGGGAAGTAGCAGGTACATAAGTGCTGAATAGAAATGCCCCTTCAAAAATGTGACATGAGGGCCGTTGAGCAAGCAAGAAATCAATGATATGGTAAACCTTGTACCATCAATGTCACGAGAGGCTTGAAGTCAATGTACTGAAATTCAGTCAGCAAAGTATCCTTGTTCGAGGCTTGGAGAGAATGAACCCCTAAATAGGATATGTCAGCAAATATGATAGTAGAAAGGGACTAATACATGTTACACCGCACTAGTAGTGAATGTAGTATGCAGAAAGAATTGAAACTGCCAAAATCACTTTGTAAATACTTTTATGATTTCGAAGAGTTTGACTAAGTTGCATGAATTAATGCACCGGAGGAGGGTGAAATACCGAAGAAAGCAAAGGTATCCCTCATCATGTCTAGAGGCCTCGAACAAAAGAAACAATTGGACAAGAAACTCCGGCTCCTCATGCCCCTAAAGTAACTGGAGACGTCTGGTGAAAACAGGGCAAGAGGGACTATCATACTCAAAGTCACAAAAAGTACCCCATCGAATAGAAGGGGGGCTAGTTGAGATCTAGCAAACGGCACGAAACCTCAAAATAGGTGTACCGCACCTTCCCATCAAGGAAGAAAACCAACTGCTGGAGTGCACACTAACATTGGTACATGCCCACATCAAGAGGCATTAAGCAATAAGAAGAAGAAGAAGAAGCATATGAAAATCATCTCCTTGTATGTCCATGGATACTCGCATAGAGCCTCATGCAACCAGTAGAAGTTGGCAATGAGACCTATTATGGGTAATGTCTCTTTTAGACAACAAAACTCATTAGCAGTCAACCAGGATTTGAATGGAATTAATGAACTAGAAGTTGAAAAGAAGAAATCAACCTGAATGTTGGTAAGCATTGACGATAGAATTAATGAATGCATTTCAGGAGCTTGGATCGAACACTTGCATAATAGTACATGAAGAAGTACTAGGTCCCGAACCAACACATAAAGAATAGAATAAACTAGAAAATAATTGAAGAAACAAACTCGTTCGTTTTGAATTTATGTTTAATTTGAAATATTTGGCCAAATCCAAATCATACTTACGCTTGCAGCTAAAGGCATACGACAGATGGAAGTCTAGTACATCAGTCCAACCACATATAGAAATGTTCATGGTGCATGGCTTTAGAATAATTAATTACCGCCAAATTGGGACAAAATTCCCAAACACGAGTGTGTCGTAGCAGCACAAGAATACTTGGCCAGTTGAACTAAACCGAACTAAGCATCGTTGAATTATTCAAAGTCTAGGTATGGTTTTGAGAGATGGTTACCTGCAACAGCAATCGCAGTTTGAAAACTATCTCAACCCCCCACCATTTATGAAACTAAAGCAGTATATGTCGCATATATGCAAATGAGTTACTTGAGGAGCAAACTCACTAAGCACATGAACCCCAAGCTCTTCTATGTGCATCAATTGCATAGAAGCAACGAACTAAGTAATGCATAAGTCCTGCAGATTTGTCCACTAACTCATTATTGACATCTTTTGAATAGGTGTGTCCAAGAAATCGGAATAATGAGACTTAGAGAAATGCAAAATTTAGGGGGAGAATTTCGCCGACTCATTACAGAATCTTGATATAGAAATCAAGTACCCAAAATCAATCTAGAATGATTGAACAAAGAATTGGGTGCATTGTACTCTTTTTTCCTTAGATAAGTTTTCCCAAAAGTTTCTTATCCAGGTTTTTAAAGAGGCAATCCGTGCGACATTGCAAGCGTACGCTATGTACTCTTTCTTCAATTTTTTCCCACTGGGTTTTCTGGAGTTTTGATGAGGCATAGACATCACACGGTGAGTACCCAAGGGAGGAGTGTCAAGAAACCTTCCATATATGCAACATGGAAACCTTCTATATATACACTAATTGGGCCCACATCTAAACCGTCCATATGTGCATTATAGCTACATAAAGAGGAGGGGGGCTGCTCATTGTTGGACTTGTGCTTGAGGATGATAGAATGAAGAATGAGAAGAGAGTCCCATCCTATATCTTGTATCTTCACTTTTATAGATATTACACAACCTCTCTAGACTACGGATGTAGCACAGGGGTTGAATAATAGACTGGACTATGACGAGGCATGGCACCACTACCACAGCCTTGGATAAGGACAACGGCTGAGAAAGTGGCGCCACATCAGCGAGTGGCTTGCAGCAATTCCACCTCCGACCACGTGGCCGACAGAGACGGCGTCGTCGTCATCGTCGTTGTTTCTCCCCGCACCTTCTTTGCCTCAAACCCCGCGCGGAGGGCCAATACCGATTTTGTCACTTTGTCGAGCCCATCCTTGATCTCTGTGATGGCGTTCTGCATGGCCATGGATGAATGACGAAGGCCATGGAGGTCGTCATGATGGCAGCCACGGTGAAAGCTAGGAAAGGATCGCTTGAATCTGATACCAAGATATTGTGTGCGTAGATTGAATTGGGGTGCTCGACGGGAGGGCGAAGGGCGAGGCCTGCAGCCTCCCTGTCCCAGAGCTTGAATGAGGATGGACATAGAAGGGAGGACTAGATATAGATTTAACTTTCTTGATTGATTGATTCTAATTGACTAACAACCCTATCTAACAAAGCCTAACAAACTAACTGAATACTTCAGATGGGCTGAGTTCCGTCCGAAGTCCTGGATAAATTTATTAGACGAGTACATCAGAATTGGTGTCTCTGATTATCCAACTTGTTTTAAAATGCATACAAAATACCCGAATTATGTAATAGTTGTTTCACCCCTAACATAGGTGAGCAAGTACTGAATGTGCAGTAGGTTGATGCAGATCCTTGGCCTCTTCACCTCTTCAGATAGGTTTTATCTACTGTTCCAAGAGGATATTATACGAACTGCCAATAAAGCTCAACAGTTTGTTGTAAAGTTCAACTTGAAAGTTTTTGAAATAGATGGGACAATTGACAAGATAGATAAGTTTCAGCACACATACAGATTACAGAGACAGTTTTCAGGGATTGTACGGTGTCAGTTTCCAGGTATTACTGCCAACAGTCTGCAGATCAGCATACGATCGTGTTGATAGTCTGTTTACTCAATCAGCTGGTCTCCATTGATGGAGCGGGTGTAGTTTGTGCCTGCCTCTTCTTCTCCAGAAGCTCCTGTGCTTCTTTCACGAGGGAAGCGAGAATGTTGGCAGGATTCGTGCTTTCGGTACGATCGCTGCTAGAGAAAATCATGAAGCCCTCCAGTTCCAACATCTTTTCTGAAGCTTTTAACAGAGAATGCATCAAGCTCTCCAGGTCTGCTCCGACTTTGGCTCCATTGAGATTTATCAATGATATGATCATCCTGGTAGTAATCTTCAGCATTCTCAGGCAATTGGCTGTTGCTTGTTCACTGTTTCCTTCTACCATCTCCTTGAGCTTTCCGGCGAAGCTAAATGCAGTGCCTCCTCCTGGGGCAATTTTATCAGTCAGTTCAGCCAAATCTTTATCATCATTGACCAATCTTTGAAATATTGCCTCACTAAGTGACAGTAAAGCTGCATAAAGTTTCATATCCACAGTTTGCTCTTTAACCTTTTCATCTTGCTCTTTAACTTTTTCATTTTCCTCTTTAACCTTTTCGTTTTCCTCTTTAACCTTTTCATGTTGACAAGCAACGGGATCTTGACTTTCAATGTCAGCTTTTTGTGCCGAGAAATTAACTCCCTCTGTTCCTTGTTCTGTCATTCCTGGTTGCTTTTCTTTATGCGTCCATGACACAAGAAAAATTTCTCCGAGCACCTGAAACGAACAGCAAGATATATATATATATATATATATATATATATATATATATATATATATATTGTTACAGACATTGCTCTTATTAGTTAATCAACATGAAACAAACTAAATAATATATTCATTTATTCGATATTGATCACCTTTGGCAACACATCTTTCATGGCTTCCGTCAGATTGTTGAGATAGCCATCTTGCTTGGTGTATCGAATGTACAGATGCTCCAGGATTTCAGCTGCACATATTCTGTATCCTCTGTTGCTATTTACATCCAAGAGCATTGCGGTGAGGTCCTTGAGAGTGCTGTCACTTGCTTTCAAGATGATTGTGGCGTCGCTCTTGCTTCGTTCGGACAGCATTGCCAATGCTTCACCTGCCATTTGTCTCATAAAGGCGTCCTTCTCTTCGTCGGTATAGATGAGTAGAAGTAGCTTGGTGAATTTCCTTCTGCTCTCGACGCTCATGCTCGAAGCCTCGTCCACCACCTTGTTCTTCGCCGCCATGGGAAGCTGCGTGAGGATGTTAATGGCGAGAATATAGAGCCTCTTCTCGTTGCATCCGTCGCAGTTGAGGATCCTCTCCATGGTGCCGATGGCGTCCTTGTCGTTCAGCACCTGGGAACGCAGCTTGTCGCCGGTCTCGCCGGGGGCGGTGACGAGCCGGCACATGAGCTGCAGCGAGCAGGCGACGATGTCGTTCCACGCTTCGTGGTCGATGCGGTGGAGCAGGTCGGCGCTGACGGGCGCCATGGCCATGGAGAGCAGCTGCCGTCCCTGGGTGCTGTTGATGATGATCCGCCGGTTGTGCTCCGCGGCGGCTAGCTTGTGGAGGATGACGAGGCCCTGCACCATGAGCTTCTTGTAGTGATCGGAGGACTGGGCGCTGTCGTCGTCGTCGTCGTCGTTGTCGTCGTCTTGCTGCTGGTTTCTCGGGGTGGTGAGCAGCGAGTATATGCACCGGATCCCTTGCGGGAACCTGGCGAGCGTGATCTCGCCGGCGAGGTGCGCCACGATCCTCGCGGCGTGCTCCCGAACGCCGCGGTCGCGGGTCCCCGTGCACCGGAGCGTCTGCAGCAGCTTGTCCATCAGGTCGGTGGACGACCCGACGAGCTGCCTGATGAGCTCGTGCTGCTCCCGCAGCCAGGCCTGTGACAGGAGCTTGTCGAGGATCCTAGCCCCGGAGGAGTAGTCGCCGGACGACAGCGACGACGACGACGACTCCTTCATCATCGTCACGGCGAACGTGACGAGGTTCCTCCCTCTCACCGACGACGGGTCCTTCTCGCATCCGTTCCTCGTCTGCCGCATGTACTCCACCACCGACGTGCGCCCGCCGTCATCCTCCTCCTCCCCCTCGCCGCCGAAGCTGTAAACTCCGGCGACCAAGTTCGCCAGCCGCCTCCCGAGGAGGCGCGAGGTGAAGTAGTAGAAGAAGAGGGCGCCCTGGACGAGCGCCAGCGAGTAGAGCACGTTGAGCGCCGGCGCGAGGTTGGCCGCCTCCTCGCCGGCGCCGTAGTCGCGCTGCAGCAAGCGCCACAGCGAGAGGCCGGCGGTGATGAGGAGGCCGAACAGGTAGAACACCGCGAGAGGGGAGAGGATCACCACCAGCACCACCAGCTGGAGAACCAGCAAAACGCGCGCCAGCATTAGCCGTACCCCTTCCATCCTGCAGAAGGAGCCTTTCTCCACCTTCACTAGCATCGCTGATATGGTACCCACCAGGCCGAAGAAGGATTTCCGAAAGTAGGTCAGCTTTTCGTTCAGGAAAACATCGAACACCCTGTGGACATATACTCCGTAGTATATTGCAGACGAATGTAATAAGGAGGCCGAAAATTTGACAAATTGTTTCACTTTGAAAACTTATTTCGAAACACTGCGTTAGAAAACTTCAATAAAAAGGGACCGCGAGCTTAGCACCAGCCCTGTTGGTGCTGATGTCATACGGGTCCATGCCAATCTCCTTGACGCTGACCCCCGCAGACTATAACACCTCGAATTCCATGCAATTGACAAAACTATTTTAACACGAACCCTGCTATGTCAAAAATCTAGATTCTCTGAGCGTAGCTACGTTTGCGTGCCAAAGATCTCAATTAAATCACCCTTTGTAAACTATTTGTAAACTATTAAGCATGCCCTATTTTATGGTCTGTTAAAAACTATTTTAATAAAAGAAGTGAATTACATATTGGACCACTAATATTTACATTGGTTGCACAGTGAACTAGAGGTAAACCTATATTTTCACATTGGGCCTGTTAACTGTACAATAGTTGCACATTGAACCGGTGTTCTTCTCCAACTCTCTTCTCCATTGAGTTGTATTGTACCCAATCTGTAAAGGTGTACCTGCCATCTAGCTGAAGGTCGCTACCATAGATGAGCAAGGCTCTGGGAGACCAGGACCTTGAGTGAGCTGCCGCTGGCCGGTGATCAAGCCCCTGCCCTACACTGCATCAAGCTCGACCTTGCACTGGAGCTGCATTGAGCGTTGCTCCGCACTTGAGCTCACCATCGGCGGTGAGCAGACCATCAAGATCGTGCCACCAATCTAGCTTGACCTCCTCCAATCCCTGCTTGTGCATTGGAGCTCAAGTTTGAGCTCGACCTTTGTCAGCTCAGGCCACTCGGTCGATCTCGCCCACACCCGTCACTGCATCAAGCTCAACCCTCCTAGTCCTGCAATCTCTCAAGCTAAACCTCCATCCAACAAGCTGCTTCAGGAGAGAAGTTGATGATGGGTAGCTATGATTAGGTTGAGTATCTGTTAATTGTTGGCCACCAGTGTTCGAGAGAGATAAGGGTTACGGACATTGACTGACATATGGGCCACTAGTGTTAAGTGAATTTATGGTAATAATACCTAGCCCAAAGTGAAAAGTTATGCTACCACCTAGTCCATCATGCAATGAAGGTAATAAAAACTGATCCATTATGAAACTTACTCTAATAAAAACCCAAATGCCAAGGTCTCATCAAGTTTGTCCCTGAAGCCTCTTCCTGATCAATGCCCCCCCCCACCAAATATCTCCTATTCAAATTTCAAATTTTCAAATCCAAACCTCCTTGAATTTTCCATTTTTTTCTATCCTTTTGTTCTTCAATTTATACTGAAGATCAAGACCTTTTCTCAAAAATATTCTAAATCCCAGTCAAAAGCCTCTTGAATGAAATCCAAAACTTTTTGTGAGCTCAAATATCAAATTTTGATTCAAACCACAATTCAAATCCTTCAACTACCCTTCATATATATTCTCTTGAAATTATGAAGTGCTAATGTTCCCTATAGAGACGTCCCCTCCTTTCCTTCTTCGGCCCAACTTGATCCCTCGCACCGCCACCGCCCCACGGCCACAGGCCAGCCCAGGAGCGCACATCGTACCCCCGCACACACCCGCTCACCCATGTCAGCATGAACGTCCGCCGCACAGCCAATCCCACGGGCCCACTAGCCAGCCGCACTAATCCACGCCGCGCACCCCTCCATTCTTACTTGTCGCCTAGCACCACCTTATGGCTATGAACCTGTGGACCCTCTCCTCTTCTCTTCCCCCAGTGTGCTCACTAGCTGGCCTCCCCATGCTAGCTGGAAGAGCTCAAGCTTAAGTCAACAAGAGTGGTGCCGCCTTCTCTTATGCTCCCTCTCATTCGATGAGCCCCATTTAGCCTCTTTTCTTCCTTTTCCTCTCTCTCTCTCCGTGCACCGCCTCCACCCGAACCATAGCCCACCCACCTCTGCCACCTCTTTGGTTGCCACCAGTGACATTACGTCGCACGGCTGGAGTAGTCCGTCACTGATGTCTGAACCTGCCATTTGTCACCGTTGTCCACCCCCATCCACATCTGAGCCCGCATAAGGACTCCCATACTCCCACTTATTCTCATGGTGGTCGCCACTGCTCGCGGACCGCCGTCATTCGTCGGCAAAATTTGGACCGCCACCCCATCGTCAGATCCCACTGACACCGCTCATCCATGCTAATCCCTCCTCGTACCTCATTGACATGTGGGCTAGAGACCATTTAAAGGTGATTTCAAATAAAGTGTTGATGACACTAGGCCCCACCTCCTTAACCTCCCTCCCCCATGCTGCAGCATCTCTCCGCTTGAGCTGGTGAGGCCGACCCACTAAGCCCGATCCACATTGCAAAGTCCATTATGCCTCCCTCCTCTTTGGGCCGAGCCCATTACCCCCTTCCGTATACGTAAGTCCACATTACCTCCCTCCCTCTCACCCTATCACTGACATGTGGACCCCACATGCCAGTCTGACAAAAAGAATATTCTTGAGAATACTCTTTTCCAAAATTCATTAATCTTTTCCAAAAATTCCAGAAAATCAATATCTTTTTATCCATATCTCCGCTTGACCCCGTTCAAGTCTCCAAATTTTTGTAAAAAATGAGATCTACCAATGGCACTATTAGTTGCTAAGTATAGTATTTTCTTTGTAAGATTTTGTGTTATTTTCTCCATCTTGCATGCAGTCTTCGATGATGGAAATTATTTTTGGAGCGGGTTCTCGAGATTTTGAAGATGAAGACAGAGGCAAGTCACCCTTGACCATATATGGTCCCCATTTTACAAAATGTTTTATTTGCAAATTACATTACTAGTGTGCACACTAAATTGACTGGCCTTGGTTTGTGTGACAAACCGATGGACCTACCTGATAGTTGCATCAATCCTATAGGTTGATTGATACCAGTACGCCTTGTCACTCCACCCCATGGTACCTCGGTAACTGTGCTCTTGGTCATATTGCCGATGGTCCCACTCACAAAAGCATTGCTTGTCGACATGTAAAACTAGATTGCAAAACCTTTAAAATCCCAACACGTGGTGTTGCAATGTTTGTGAAAATAGAAGTTATTTTCGAAAACACACGATGCAAAGCGGCCTTATTGGAGGCAATCCTCTATATTTGCATATAAGGATCGATTCCTTGTGGAATTACACTGATCATAAATACAGTACGATCACATGAGTGGTATAGGACATGGCTGGCTATGTAATTAGCCAGAACAATATACCTCATTTGCCAATAGGTGAGAAATGTCGGGATGTGCAGTGAGGTGACATCCCCGAATTCTGGAGAAGGGTGAGGATGCAGAAGGTTCGCATACTACTTGTTTGAGAGTGGATTGACTATCGTGCATGAGGTATCACTAGAATTGTTTTGGGAAGGCCTTGACATGAACCTTCCCTATCTACAGGTGTGGGAAGTAAGTTCGAGTCATGTGGGTAAAGCGTGCACCTCTGCAGGATGAAACTGTTCGGACAATTGCGCCCATGGTCATGGGTGTATGTGCAATGGTTCCTCTTGTGTAGATTTCTTTGCCTATGCTTTGTAAAAATGGATTGTGGGAATGAGAACCATTTACTAGAATCAGCCAGAGGAGAGAAGAGATAAGAGTTGCCTGATGGTAGACTATGAGCCATTTTCTTTGGTTAGACAAATGGCAGAGCAATAGACTTCACTAGTAATTTCAATCAACTAAAACTTGCTTCGTCTGCTTTAGTTGTTGCAAATCAATTCATGAATAGGGTTGAAGCGAAAGCCTCTTTACAGTCATGTTATAAAAACAACCCACGCTTAGTGTTTTAAAAAAATGTATTTTGAAGAAAGATTTATGAAATAAACCCAGCCCTCCTTCGAAGCTTGCATACTCACATTTTTCATGACTTGCTGAGTACATACGAACTCAACCTTATTTTTCCTCTCCCTAGAAAGAAGTGAAGTTGAAGAGTTGGGTTTCATATCTAATCCCAACCAGTTGCTTGTAACTGGGTTCTAGCTACACTAAGTTCCGTTGCTACTTCTCTACTTACTGTTTACTTTTTCGAAGTTATTCTGAAGGTGTGACCTCCTATATGATATCAACTATTTATATTATATGATGTACCTCAATTAACCACAGGTACTAGCATGTTCTTCCTGGGACTAGTACCAGCATCGCACAGTTTCCTAGGAATCGGTTCACGTTCATTTTCTGCTGCATACTTCCTTTGGTGTCACTGTAGATGGTGCTAGAGCAAGGAGTGACAGAGTTGTGGTGATACAGATGCGCTAAGACAAGGTGGCAGTTGGATAAACTTGAGAGGCAAAGGTTGGGACAGGGAAAGTGAGGTGTGCCGGTGACCATGGTGATGTCTCCTCATCAATGCCAGATGAAGCATGTATGTAGCAAGAACTTATTTTTTGGGGTTCAAAACCATCAACCATCATCAGTATCGGGTTTTGTCAAACCAGCACTGATAAGAGGGTACTAATGTGCTCTTTTGTGATGGTGCCAGTGTTTTGAGCTGTGCAAGGCTTGACAACAGCGAGAGCAGCGGGAAAACATTTTTGGGTTGCAAGCGGTAAACTACATTAGGGTTGTAGATGTGACAAGTGAAGATGGAAGGTCAACGTCGTGTGTAGTTCAGTGATCTCTGTTCAGGAGGAGGGGTTGGGAACTCATCCTCCCCGACACACGAAACAGAGCGATGGATTAACGCATGCACTACTGGAGAAACCATCCTTGGTCGGTTGCCAAAAACCACAATAGTCCCGATTGCTTAAAAATCCAAGACTAAAGAATATTTTTAGTCTTGGTTTAAAAGCACAATGGGACTATGTGATCTTTAGTCCCAGTTGATTCCATGTCAAGCCGTGTCAGGGCGATCGGGATCTTTAGTCCCGGTTAGTAACACCAATTACTAACCAGGAATAAAAATCAAAATGCAGTATATAATCCTCCATAGCACTTATCCTCTTCTCCCGTCCACACAAACTCCTCTCTCTATTTCTTTTTTCCTTATCTCTTTCCTTCGCTGAGAGCTGAGCCTTATTGGCTAGGAACGAGCGCTGGAGAAGGAGTGCTGGAGCGGGAAGACCGGGCGGCGCAGGGCGCGGTAGAGGGCCGGTCGTCCGGGCGACGGGCAGCAGCCTGCGTGACGACATGGAGGGCAGTGCGGAGGGGAGGCGGGAGGTGGCAATGGCCGGCGTGGACGGGAGGAGGGGAGGCGGTAGCGGCCGGCCGGCGCCTCTGCCGGAGAGGAGGCGGGAGGCTGCAGCAACAATTTTTTTTAAAGAATTTGTGATTCATTGCATGATCCTGCGATGTATTTTATTTGTGTGTGATGTGAATATGTGATGTATTTATGATGAATTTTTTAGAACTTATGATGTAATTTTTTTAGGAATTTGTGATGTATTTGGAGATGATCGATTTGAGGATTTGGAGATGATCCTTTTGATCTGTGATCTGTGATGACTTAGGATGTACTTGGAGATGATCGATTTGAGGATTTGGGATTTCAGGATTTAGGGATGATTCGAGGATGGAGTGTGACGGAGCGTGGGGCTCCTCACCGGGAGACCGCGCAGGCCCCCCTTTGCCGGTTCGGCCGGGGACTCAGGGAGAGATTCTAAGCTCTCTGTATGTGGAAGGCTCGCGAGACAGGAAACACGCAAGACACGGGCGATGTATACAGGTTCGGGCCGCTGAGAAGCGTAATACCCTACTCCTGTGTTTTGGGACATCTGTGTATGAAGGAGCTACAAAGTATCAGCCAGCCTCTCCCTTGTTCTGGGTTTCTAATCTGGAAAAGTCCAGTCTCGTCTCTCCGTGGGCAAGGTCCTCCTTTTATATCTTAAGGGGATACCACATGCACCATTTCTCTCTTTTTTGTGGGGACTTACCCCACCTTTTCATAAACAGACGGAGACTTGTATGGTTGCCGTCCGAATGACCTTCTGATGGGACGGCCCATACCTACCTCCACTTCCGCCGGAAGCAGGCGCGACGTGGAATCGTGGCTGTCTGCTGACGACATGACCGGTATTAGTCCAGTCACGTCGGTCATTCTTGTCCACCACGTGTCAGCTTAGCAATCTACATGCTCGCCCTTCTTCACACAACATCTTGCCTGTAATGGTTAGGATGAAGCCTGGCATATATCTGACCAGGACTAACGTGCCATCTCTGGGAGGTAACACGCTAGCTCCAGCTGGGGACGAGTGCCTAGAAGCCCTCGTCCTGACGGGATGGGGCGAGGCGTGTGTCAGATCGCCTGTCGCCACCTAACCCGCGATCTGACCGGTCTGTGACTGGTCACAGACCGGATAAACGAGTGCACTGCACTGCGTTACATGCGGCGTGACACGCTCAACCAAACCGCAATAAATGTGGTTAGGTGAGCCCCAATGTGCTCACCTAACCCATACACGCGGCGCAAAAACCCACGAGGGGTCGGGGCGCCTCGGCCCTCGGGGCCGAGGGGGGTGTGGCCCGACCCCCTCGGGGGGACTAAGAGGAGGGCGAACGCATCACCCTCGGGCCCGACGCCCCCCGAGGGTGCCAGGCTACGTGGGCGATTGTGTCTGCCTCAAGCCTCTAGTCATGATACTCCCGGTTCCATGTCACCGACAGAGTGAAATCAATATTTAATGTTAAAAACAATGAAAAAGGAAAAAGAGAGCAAATGGACCTGGCCTGGCTCCATCTTTAGTCCTGGTTAGTGCCGGGACTAGAAAATGAATTTTTACTCTAGTTATTTTACCCAGGACTAAAGATGAGCATCTTTAATCCTGGATTCGTAGTCCCGGTTGCATAACCAGGACTATAGGGGGTTACCAACCGGGAGTAAAGCTATCCAGTAGTGATGATTAATTAAGTATTACCTACATTTTATTTGAAAATATATTAATATAATTTTTAAAGCAACTTTTCTAAAAATATGCGTAAAAACACATAATTTAGAAGGCGTGCGCATGAAAAACATGAGAGTAAAATTTAGAAGAGAGGAAGAAAGAATAGATCCCAAAGAATTTTGGGCCCTGTTTAGTTCTAAAGTTTTTTTCCAAACTTCCAACTTTCTATCACATTAAACCTTTTATACACACACAACTTTTCTATCACATCATACTAATTTCAACCAAGCTTTTAAACTTCAGTGTGACCTAAACACAGTCGTGGTTAGCCAGTCAACCACGCCCATTACTTCATCTTTATTATTCTGTCCCTCCCTGTCGCTCTTTGACGTCACAGCTGTCCTGGAATCTCTGACATCAGTGCTGTCATCATGGAAATTATTGGAGCAGATCATTGATCAGCTATCTGGACAAGGAGGAGCAAAACATCTATCGCCATTCGCCAACGGTGTACATTTTCCTCAATCAGCACTATTTTCGCGCTGATTTTATTATTGACTCCCGTCAAGCAATTAACCTGTGCTCTTTCTAATTACTGACAACGTGTTTCTATAGGACTGCTAGTGTTAATTCCTATGTAATTCCTTTGCATCACAAATTCTTATATATTCCGGATAAAACTACATGAACATCAGAAATGATGCGGAGGAGTGAGTCAAGGAGCTTTTTTTCGAAGTTCCAAGCTCCAAAAGCCTTTTCTCCTTTCTCAAATTTATTACCAGAAACAAAAAAAAAAAAGGAGACAACGAATTAATAAGCAGCAAATGAAGCTTGAGGAGCAAGTTAAATATAGATCACTAACCCAGTTGTTTGTGCGAGGGTGATGACGGTGAGACTCCAGAAGTCCTTCTCGAGCATGGAGACGAAGCCACCGAGGAGGATGAAGGTAGTCCACAAAACCACCAGGAAGCCCATCCCTCTGATGGCCATGGACAAGTACCCCATAAATAGGGCATAACTATTGATCATCACCACTTCCACCCATTGAGAGTCATCATCGACATTGTCAGCCATTGTGTATCACTTCTTTGTCTTTCCCAGGAGATCAGTGAGGTCTCCTTTTGCAACACAAACAGTATGCCGGCTGATATATAAGCTACTGCTGTCCTAATATAGTAGAAAAAAACGGACCGAGCACGCGGTTAAACTAATATAGTAGAAAAAACCAGACCGAACCGACAGTTAAACTAGAACCAAAGCCTGGCGCAGTACGGTTTGTAGGAAATTCCGTTCATGCATGTGAACCAGTGGAAAACCATCAAACCGGATGGTTCTCTAGCGAAATGTTGCAAAAGTGGGGAGTTGAACCCATGACCTCGTGCATGGCATGATGACATACGGTAAGCGTACCGCGCGTTTCCACGTAACCAGCTGTGCAAGTGAAATTTACTAGATATCAAAGGGTAAAGTATTATATTTCGCACTGTTAAAATTAATTAAAGTGAAAGAATAATTATGTCATCTAACTGGTGAACTGGTGGACCGTGAACCGACGACCTCACTAGGTTAGTGATTGAAATTTCGGTTCGAAATTTCAGAAATTTCCCCACCGGCAAGCAAAAATCTCATCCAAAATTTTCATCTTTTTCCAATTTCCTGTGAATTTGATAAAAGTTTATTTAAATTCGTTATATTTTAAAATAAATTCGGCCATCAATTTTCCGATGTTTCAGAAATTTCAGTTCTACCCTCCCCCGAAAAAACATAATTTCGAGATCGCTAACCCTGCACAAGGTTAATCCCCGATCCGACTTTTTTCGCTATGATCCAAAAGTAGGTAGACGTTAATTGTCGATGCACAGGAAATGTACTAGTCCGCCCACTGGCTAGCCGACGATGAAGAAGTCGGTAGATCTTTGATGGACTCCAGAAACATCTGGTCCATCATGTGAAGTTTTCAATTCTACTGATCTCTAATTTATAGTTTCTGTTTTAGGGCATATTTAGATTATATCTAAAATAAATCTTACTCCCTCCGTCCCACAATATAAGAGATTTTGAGTTTTTGACCACTCGTCTTATTCAATTTTTTTTGCAAATATAAAAAACGAAAAGTTATGCTTAAAATACTGTAGATAATAAAGCAAGTCACAAATAAAATAAATAATAATTTTAAATTTTTTTTAATAAGACGAATGGTCAAATATTGCAAGCAAAAACTCAAAATCTCTTATATTATGGGATGGAGGGAGTACCAAATTTTAGCAGTAACAAAATTTTGGTAAGATGATAATAGTATCAAAATTTTGGTAGGATTTCTTATGTATTTACCAATTTTGGCAACAAGCTAAACGTAGACATTTTTTTAGCAACTTTACCAAAAATAATATGGTTAAAAATGACATCAAAAGCGAATAGGCTCTTAATGTATATTGGCAAGATCTTGACTCGGAGCAATTGGCAGATCGCAGAAGGTGACCCACTATTTCATATAAATGTACTAGGTGCAGACTGCAGACCAAATGTGTGACACAATAGATGTAGTGAATTCTCAGTTAAATAGGATGAAACCACTGTTCAACGATGAAATTTCTGCGCAAAACATAGGTATTACTCTCCTGTGGTGATATTGTTACAGTATTGATTTCATACATGCACAACCTGTGACGATCCATGGACCTGAAGATGAAACAAGATTTGGAAAAGCAGTTTCGTGCACGTACAAAAATGACTCTACACTGAATTAGGACCTGTTTGTTTCGGCTTAATATTATTGTAACGTAGATTGTTGAGTTAGATTACTGTAAGCTGAATTATAATAAGCCAACATATATAGAATAAGCTATAAGCTGTTTGTTTCTCTGGATTATAAGCTGTTTGTTAGCTGTTAGCAACCCAATAAACTAAAAAAAGAACATTTAGAGTAGATTACTAGATTAAAGTAATCTGGCTTATAGATTATAATAATCCATCATAATAGGCTATCTGTTTGTTTCACTTTATTCCTAATAATCTAAATTATAATAATCCTAATCTGAATCAAACAGGGCCTTATTCTATTTTGTTTCCCATGTGTTGTCATATGATTTCACACGTCCTAACAAAAAAAATTGCGTTAGATAAAGCTTCTAGCCATATGTGTGGTACTGACTAGTAGCAAAACAATTAATATGCTTGTGCTTAATGGAAGTAACATAATCCTCCACCTCAACCTTAATTAGTTTCCAATTTCTAGCCTTCTAGCCGTGTTCATACAAGATCTGCCATTATAAATTTTATAATGAATACGTGCATACATCTTCTTGGCAAAGGCAAAATTCTACTCATTTGTTACTTCATGTCCTTGTTGGTGATATGCCCTAAAGGAAATCATAAAGACGGTTGTATTATATACTATGTTTATATATTTATCTAATATTGTTGTTTGAAATAGATAACTCATTATTGGTTAATGAATATGTGATTCTTTCATGAGACTCTTTGCGTTGTATGTTGCTATTTTTAAAGGATCCCTGATCAAATATAATATGTAGAACAAATATATTTTAATGATAAGCACATGTATTAATTGATGATCATGTCTTATGGATCATGGTATAGAGATACTAAATTAATAATATGGACACATCTTGGGGAACATGTTGTTAGATAGATACTGCAAGAGCCATATGTGTTGTGTCATCAGTGATTTCATTTAGTGTTGGTGTTGAATCCTTAGACCTAAGATTATCATGGTTCCCAACATGTGTAGTAACTTATATAGGGACTGCTAAACACTACTCCGTAATTGGGTAGTTATAAAAGTAGTTTTCGAGTATGCTATAAAACATGTAGTGGGATATGAATAATCAAGATGAGATTTGCCCCTCCTATGGAGAGATATCTCTGGGCCCCTTGATGTTATAGATTATAGAAGTGCATAGCCATGCCAAAGGTGGTTGAGGAGTCAATCACAAGTTATGTAATCTATCACAAGTTTGAGTGAATGATTGAGCTATTAAAGAATGTCACATATGTAGCCTTGAGCTTAATCGATATCGTGAGGCAAAGGGGTTTATACAAGTATACACTAGAGGTTCAACCGTTATGATCTTTGTGTATGCCCGGTCAGTCAATACGTTCTGCTAGGGGCCACTGTTGACATGTGGACTGAAAAGGAGTTTTCGGGTTACAGCCGAGTGTGCATGAACCTACAGAGTCGCACGCTTAATGGGCCGAAATAAGGGGATTGGATGGAGATCCAATATGTGCTTAATTCGGGTAGGGATCCGAATAGGAGTCCTATGGGCCTTGGAGATGGATCCTATATATTCGTGAGAGATGTGACCGGTGGAGGCATTGCATCACGTGAGAAACCCTAGCCGCCACTCTCCTTCCCGAGCAAAAAACCCTAGCCGCGTGCGAGTGCTAGCACATCTGCGCGTGGCGTTCTGTCCCTGTATGTGTAGATACCGGTAGAGTCGTCGTTGCCTTGCGGTGCTGATCGGTGTGGGAGTACGGCGAGGAGAACGCACGAGGAGGAGAAGGTCGAGCCGGTGCGATCAATTACTTCCTCTACATCGATGCGCTACATCGCGAGGGTTCCTTCGCCTTCTTAGCGCTTTCTTGCGCTGCGCAGCGCGTCGTGTGGTAACGATCTATGATCTACTACTTGCACGGTTCCTGGTTTACGTGGTAGAAAATTTTGATTTATGCTATCGTAGTCTACGCGTATTCTAATAGTCCTAACATAGCTCATTAATATTCATATGGGTATAATGTTGCAAATGCATTGTTATAAAACATGCACCGAAATCAACATAGGTAGTCAAGCGCGGAACAACACCATACAAGATCCAAAGTAATAACGATATGGATGCACAATATTTAGAAATGGAGTCTAGCCATAGCCCACATCTCTGAAAGTTCTGATTATGAACGCTCCTCCCTGATATAGCATGGTTACAGCGCATCAAGGTATCCATCAACCGACTAGGCTGCCGCCCAATCATCCCTCGCATGTGCTACAGTCACCTGGTTGTGTACAGCTTTTGGATGTAGTGACTGGGTTTTTAATCTATTATCTAATTAAAAAAATGTGCTATAGTTACCATACGGTTATATGTGCTTCTCTATTTAACAAACTAGGTGATACCCCGCGCGTTGCTGCGGGATTTGTAAGAAGTGATCATGATATTTTAAGTGCTGACAAATGCCCAAGCATTACACAACAAAGTAATCAACTAGGGTAGGAACAGTGCAAATAACTCTGAAGAAGGGCAATATGAATGTTGTACAAATATATACATGTAGTCTGGTGCGAATAATGGGAGTTCTTCATTGAAAATAGCAGATCTCAATTCAGCGATAGTGCATTTGTATAGCTAGAAGTAGCTATCAACTTGTCAAGTGTGAATGTGTGATTTCCTGAACATCTTAATTTCCAACAATTAATGAATCTCTAATAAAAAAACTGCTGTATATTTACCTGTTTAAGTGGTGTGCTGCTTCTGAACTCCTTTTAAGTATCGTACAAACCCTAATCTAGCTACCAACTGGAGTGATTACTTGATTAGTAAAGGAGCATTGCGGGGTTCATAGAAGTGTGAGCAGATAGTTTCAAACCGTGGAGGCAATGGATATTGTGTAATTAGCAGATCATATTCAAGCCTGAAATTAAAAACATGTACAATTAATTGAGTGTCCAACATAAGAATGTGAAATTATCTTAAAACACTGAAACGTCACTTAGCCTATGATTGGACACATTCTCATTAGCTGAACATGTAGCTGAATATTGGGCATCAGAGCTTGTTTGTGGGTAAACAACAACTAAAGAATACATCATAATTGATGACATGATCTAGGAAAGTCACCCTGTAGGGTGGTAATAACACTACTTGATGAAAATAGGCAAAACACCATCAAAATGTAGAAGTGTGATGAAATAGGAAATTTCATTTGCAAAATGTAGAAGTGTTTTGTATGGTTAGTAAAAGGCCCATGCAAATTGTTATTGCAAGATAGAAAAAAAATTAAATGCAGGTTAATGGGATACAATTATAGAATAGCAGAATATACCTGGTACTGTACGCTGCTGAGAATTGCGTTCATTTGTTCTTTGATTAAAAGTGCTTGATATGATTGCCCCTGGCATAATATTAAAAGTGCTTGATATGATTGACACTGGCATAATATGGTATATTCCGATAATAAGAATTAAACAGAGAATAGCATATTGCAGTTCTGAAAGTTTGATAAATCACCTTTGCATTAAAGAAAAAAAAAACCTCATCACAGAAAATAAAACTGAAATGAAATGAAATGCAGCTCTCCAGTGTTTTCGAGAAAAAAATAAAACTGAAAATTGAAGGCGAAATTTAGAGGTAAGTGCTATAAAATCCACGGGAAAGTAGGAATGCAAGATATAGCATGAAAGAGAACATCAAACATCACCTAACAGTACAATGAAAGAGTGAAGCTTGAACGAAACCAATGAACCAAATCTGCGGATGCTCTGCACATATAAATATGATTTAGCTCAAGCAATACCAAACCTCGATGCAATAAGCTGAAAGGGGCTTAGATAAAAGTAGAAGAAAAAAACATGAGAAAAAGGAAACATGAAGATAAAGTCCTCAAGTCATACCCAAACACTGTGAGAAGACATCTGTGGCCAGGAACCGGATGCAGGTTGAAGAAATCGATTTCTGAGAAAACTCAAGTGTGCTGATGGAATTGATAATTGATTTAATTGCCACAGTTGATGCCTTGCAGTTTCCTGGATTTGGAGAGAGAGACTTGGTGGCGCTGCACCATGCTTGTGAGGAAGGATGCAATTATTCGGCTAGACATGCGGGAGAATCACAGGCAATAGGCATTATCGATTTGCGACGGAGAGTCATATGCTACTCATCTACACATCAGAGCTGCAAAACAGATAAATCACAGAACATATTAGTACCAAATATGCCTAAGACCGGCGCTGTAGCCCTCGTTCGCCGTGACCAACGCTGCTGCCCTCGTCCGCGTCCACTGCCGCCCTCAAATGCTGCTGCCTCCCTCTTCCGTGTCCGCCGCTGCCCTCGATCGCCGTCGTCCTCGTCCGTGACCTCCGCCGCCGCTGCTGCCCTTGTCGCCACACTCGTCCGCGACCGCCGCTGTCACTGTCGTCATCGACAGAGTCCGTCGCCGCCGTCGTCATTGTTGCCAGGGCCAGGGAGGAGGCGAATAGGCGATGAGGCTGGGGGGAGGCAAATAGCCGTGGGGTCCGGTGTGGAAGGCGATGCGGTGGGGGGCGAGCGAAGGGACCGAGGACGTGCTACGAAAACGCAATGAGGACCGCTCAGATGTAATCCAACGGCTGACAATTAAATGATGACGTGGCTTAACTAAATATTAGCTTTGGGTCTTAACTTTATAGAAAGAAGGGATAACCTAGAGTAGACTATGACTCTAAGTCTATCATACACCTATTACAATTCTAAGTACTAATTTGAAACAAAGTACATTTTTGCTAACAGTCTAACATGTATAGCCCATTTACGATACTCAAAACACCTTGGAATGAAAAAAATAGCGGCATGATCTTTTCTTATTTAGGAAAAATAATGGAAATTAACCAGCCGTTTCCTATTGCATGATAGGGTAAACACCAATGTAGAGAACTCTATGTATATACTTTAGCAAGTCAGCAGCAACAAAACTATTTTTCTGTTATATCTTAACGGGAAGAGTTGTCTCCATAAAGAGAAAGTCATGCTAGAAGAAAACCATATGCATATGGGGTACTATCTTCTAGGAGGGCCAGAAACAGCTTTTCCGTACTCTTAGTATTCTTGATGCATTCCATTCCAACTCTTTTGGTTCTAGGCGATTACATTTTATAGTCTCTTGCATAGGAAACAATAGAGTTTAACCCTGTATTTCAAACCCTGTAGTTCACGGTACTTAACTCGAGGTCCTCTCTTACTTGTACCGATTTCTCGCAACAACGTGCAACCATTCTTCACATGGTTTGATGGTCGAAACTGGTCGATAACGACCGTCAACCGCGGGGCAATTAAGACATTTTGCATCGTTATAATCATCATACTTGCCCTATAAAAGGAGTTTTTCACTTCACTTTCAACACAACTTAAAGCTTGAGCTAAATTATAAGAGGCGCTATTGTACTATATTATATACTAGAATTAGGGAGAGAGTAGAGTAGAGGAAGTCGGAGGAATTCCGGAGTTGTCGGTAATCCTTTTCTTATTTCTTTCACTCTGTTAAGTACTCTGCTTTAATCGAAATATCATTGGGAGTAATTAATATTTATTCTGTGAGAGTTACCTCTTGGTTAGTTCCTAATCAACTTATGGGGTCACTGATCACTATAATCCAATAAAATATAGTGGTTGCTTTAGTGTTTAGCTAACATTAAAGTAGTTATTAAACTTCGTAGACGTGGTATCTGGGTAGTTAATTTTCGGTATTTGCTTCATATCCCACAGTATGTTTGAGGTAGGTGTAGAGGTGGTGATAGCCCTCAAAACACTAAAGTCATCCCTATCTGGGTACTTTGAAGAGCCATATCTGGGAGCAGCGGACTGGCCAGCGCCCGAAGTACCGCGTTAGGATTAAACTGAGCTTTCTATAGACACTGTCTCTCACTAGTAAATCCTCTCTACCCTTAGCCTACCTTAGCTTTGTGTCCTTGGATGAACCTAGTGAAGAGATGACACACAAGTTCCTGTGGAAATCTATACCTTGGAATACTCCCAGGTGAAGTGCTACATCGGTATCTTCCGTGCGCTTGCGGATTTTATCTGTGACATTAAGAAATACCAACAGCAATAAAGCTTGGAGGCCCAAGGAATGGCTGTCTATCGTGATGGCCCGTCATGCAGGTCTCTCTATGCTTCCTCCTTGTGTTGGACATCTCCATGTAGTACCCGTGCAACTCCTTGCAAGCAGGGCCCATCTTCGCTAACATGTCGTCTCCAACCAGTGGCATGCCTAATGTGAAGTCGGTCGGAGCCGTGGGACGAGCTGATGGTGCCTTGCCAAGATTTGGCTTATTGGGAACTAGAAGCGAGGCTTCTACCTTTCCTCTTCCTCTCCCCCTCCCAACAGCTTTCTTTTTTGTTTCATGCTGTGGTGGAGAAGATTGGGCCTTCTTGCTCTTTTTGGCAGGAGGGGGAAAGTACGCCATGCTGTCGACTTCCAAACCCTCATCCCCAAAATCTGTATCATATTACAATTGGAGATCTTCATCTCCTTCTTCAATGGCAGGAGGGGCAGATATAAGAGTTGTAGTGGGTCTAGTACTTGGTGTTGGCCTAGGACTTATATTTTATCTGAATGTTATGCTTGGGCCATTGGATAAAGGTCCCATGTGCAACTCCTAGGGTCAAAACCTCGTCATTTGGTGGATGCATCAGAGTGGAGCCTACCCATTCGGGCTTGACTAAGTCCACTTGTACTTTAGCATGCCTGGCCATCAACTACGCCCGATGAACTCGGGTTTTCGGTGTAGGCTTGAACGCAAGACCCTTGGCGGTAGGAAGTGTAAATGCTTGTGTCACCCTAACGACTAGGGTGCACTCTATGGGACCCTGTGATAGATTCATACATGTTCTTAGAATATGTCATAACATATTGATGAGCTAAGACAACATATGCTTTATTTGTTGGTTTTACCATTGTGTGGTCCACTGCGGTAGGGACTGGTGGTTGTTCTTCCGCCGCTTCAGTTGATGCGCAGCTGCTACGCCTTTCCGTGGGGCTCACTTCTACTCTGGGAGCGTCGGCGGGGTCGACGTTCCCTTGCTGGTGCTCACCCCTGATGCGTGCCTCCACCCGTGACAACTTCTCATCGAATTCAGAGCTTAGCTCAGCTCTGATGTCCTCCATAAGTTGTTCCTTGAGGCGTGCATCTTTCTCCGCCTTTGTCAGTTTGTTCTTCTTGTACTGCCACGCGTATTGGGGAAACCCATGCTTCCATGGAATATCGGAGCCAATGCCGCTTATCCATCCACGGTGTTCTTCGTTTCCCAACGCTACCGTGAGGATGTCATCATCCCATCTTTGTGAGGAGACCTCTTGCGAGAACTGTCTCTAGGCAGTAAGGTCGACTTGCCGCACAATTAAGGCCAGGTTAAATCGACACTACGATAGACACAAACACAAATTGAACATATGCGATGTGTTGAACTTACAATTTTCTGATACACTGCTTGATCTTCGGCATTTGGGAACGTAAGTGTTCCGTCGCTATTCTTCTTCACCCTTGCCCTTGCCCAATTCCTTGTCCGGTTGGTTAGGATATCATCAGGAAGCATGGCCTTCAATATTCCCAAAATTTGTGTGAAACTCTTGTCTGTCCATCCACTACTTGCCTTCAGCTTCATTAGGTCCAAGGTAGCTGACAATTTGGTGTGTTTTGCCCTGCATCCAGCGTATAGAGGTGTCTCCGAGTCACTGACCAACCTTCTGAACTTCATAGAATCTCTCTTGTTGTAAGCTGGGTCCTCAACGTCACGTAACATGTCCTGCAGCAGATCGTGATCCACATCAACCATTTCACTGCCCAATGGAGAAGGTACAAACATATCATGCTCATCTTCTTCTTCCTGATTTTTTGCACCACTTCTATCTGCAGAAGTAACTTCTTGCTCTCCACGCTTCACCCAACATGCGTAGCCCTCCATGAATCCTCGTTGTATCATATGACCATGTATGTCCACTCTGCTATCAAACATATTCTCATTCTTGCAATCCACACATGGACAACACATGTAATCGTTGTTTCTTCTTTTCTTATCCTCCTCCGCTGCATTTATAAAATTTAATACATCATTTCTATACTCCTTGCTATGACGTTTCACAGTCTTCCCATATATCCAACTTCGATTCATCATTGCAAAAATGAAAAAATATTAGAGAAACATCTTATAGGATAAGTATTACTAAATTAATGAGAATTGATTAGTATTCTTCACTGACTTTATGAATTTTCTGTTTTTCTTGGAAAAATACACAAAAATTCACCCCCTTCAACCTCTCACCAAAATAGTGAACAGTGGGATAACTTCAGAGAACAATGGGGTGGAGTATTTGTAGTGTACAATAGATATCAGTAACGGCCAATGAAAGAACATCGGTCACGGGCGTTCAGTTATCTCAAACGGGCATACCAATAAGCCCGTCATCGATAACTGCTCATTGGTGATAGGCCTTAAATTTATGTTAATCGGGATGTGTTTGTCGCCCGTCACCGATGATACTCATCCATTGCAGGCTTAAGTGTTGGGCCCGACAAAGATTGTAGAGATAATCTCAATCGGGCCTAAACGTAGGCCCGTCACAGATGAGTCTCATCGGTGATGGGCACTTGATATATGCAACTCAATTATATCTGTACGAGTTGATCTACGTCGGTGTTTATTTCGGCCCGATTGCGATTTTCTCCTTAGGTGCATGTCTCGGGCAAATCTGGAGTGACGGAACACAAAACCCAGTTATGTGAGAGGCCTTCATTGATGGGAGGATCTGTACTAGTGTTTTATGGTTTCTCATTACTTGATGAACATATAGTCAAAAAAATTTGCATCTATGTAATTGAAAAAAAAACTAGCTTCGCTAACATGCCGTCATTCAAATAGGATTCGATAAATTGCCAAGGTTAAACAGGGGTTCCCTAGGATGCCACTGTAGAGCTTCGATGACGGAAGAACCTTGCGCCAGCCACCATGTCATGGTCTAGCCATGCTGTCGACATCGACGCTCGATCTCCTCATCCTGTGCGCTGGCGGCCACCGCGTGCCATGGTCACCACCAACTGCTTGCCACTGGTGTGCTCTCTCGCTCTGCGTCGGCTAGTTGCCATGGCCTGCATGTGACGGGGTGGACCTCCCCACAGCAATGGTGGAGCAGCTCTTCGTGTGGGCCAAAATGGGTGGGCGGATGGGTTCCTCGGCATCCGCAAATTACAGCCCGATGGCTCATCGAGGCTGCCATGGAAGGAAGCGATGCCGCGGCAGCGGGGCAGATTTGGCGAGGTTGGCGTCAAAGCGAGGCGACATGCACGGCGACGCTCTAATGCAAGTCCGGGAGCGGCGGAGGTGGGGAGAAAAGGAAGATGAGTGCGTCAGCTGCATCCCAGTGGCTTCCATTGTCTGCTAGCTAGCTTCATGGAATGAGAAGCTGGCGGTGGCTGTTAATGATATGCCCTAGAGGCAATCATAGAGATAATTGTATCACATACTATGTTTACATATTTATCCGACATTGTTCCTTGAAATAGATAACTCC